AGTGAAACTTTGATAATTATCTCATTGTTGAGTTTTTTGTATAAAGTCTGAATCATATCGTAAAAATTGACTTATATTAACGTAAATCATCACTTACACGTGTAATACGTAAAGTTTACGTACTCAATAACATGTTTTTAGTATTTTTTAGAATAAACAGTCACAGAACATCTGTGGTTATACCTGGTTATACGTCACATTTAGACACACGGCCAGCCATTTTATTACACTTTTTATTGTTCACGAGGCAGACTGTAGTAAAGTGCTAACACTAGATGTTTGTTCTGAAAGGCCTCTACTACTTGCATGTCTTAGTGTTATTAATAGCATTTGTATTTTATTCTGCTGGAAATAACAGAAGGTTTTCACAATTGGACATGAAAAACGGATGATAAATTTGTAAGCGTAAAAAGTAAGCCCGATTATGACAGTTGGTAAGGATCAGGGCAAAAGAAAACATACTACCCTAAATAATGGGACAAAGGCGAGACGATTATGATGGGCATAACCAACCCCATGGATATCACATTATATTTACTGTCGGACTAATGACACCCTTCATGCATTAAGAGGTTGAGGAGATGACAGAAAAACTATTATACTTGTGCGAAGGATTACATTAAGATCAAAAATAGTATATCTACTTTTAACAGATACTGCATTAAGCAGTATGATGTAATATTTCTTTGGTTCTTCAAAAAAGGCGCAATAAAGATTCTTTGAGGTCGGCAAGACACGCATGACAGCTCTAATGTTACAGGCTACTGTAACCCCGTCTACCATCAGACGAGCCATTGCTATTATAGTAGTATAGCAGTATAATAAATAAAAACTGTGATAGATATTGTATTGGGATCTAAGGTAAATGATAAGCTAAATAAAGATAAAATGTACGCCATCTTGGACTGATCCTATTAAAACACTCCAAAAAAATAAAGGCCTTAAAGGAAACTGTCGTTCATAAAAAGCCCCTGACAGAGGATAAAGACTAGTAAAAGCTGAACTATCTCACGTGTGTCACGTTAAGCTTGGTAAATCCTTTACAAACGTCGCGATTGCACATACGAGTGTATATAGTATATATATATATGTGGTTCCGGTTACTATGTTAACATTTCACAGAGCAATATTTTAAAAATTACAATAGATAAATGATCGGATTATATAATAATTGTATATTTACTTCCTTGCATTATATGAATGCTAATTAAACATTTATTTTTTACCTAATTAATATTTTTCCATCAACTTGTATTAACGAGTAAGTAACGTAATACAAGTACGTAATATAAAACTTTGTTGTGACAACATTAAAACGATTCTATAGACACATTAGGTAAATTATGATAGCTACGTACTTAATTAAGTCCAAGGATTACGGCATAGACAATATACAACATTACGCATTCTGCAAATGTAAGGATATATGCTATATATATTTAACAAAATTTTTGAGTTTCATTCCGCAAAAAAAATGTTTAGTCACCTAATAAAAATTACAGTTTAATTTATTTATCAAGATTTATATATATATATATATATATATATATATATATAACAACTTGAATTTTACGAACTTACTACCTTTGTCGTTTCCAACAATTGTTTCGACTTCATCCGGAAGTCTTCTTTAATGCGAGGCGAGACATTGCGACGTAAAACACCGTACTCACTCTGAAGAAGACTTCCGAATTAAATCGAAACAATTATCGGAAACAACAAATATAGCAAGTTCATAAAATTTAAACATATATAAAAATCGTAAAAAAACAACATTAGTTTTAAAAATAATATCTTTTATCACAGGCTTTTTCATTTATTGTCCTACAAAAATATTTGTTACCGAAACAGATGTGCACTCACAAATTATGACTCACAAATTATGAGAATAAAAACAAAAAACATCACATCGTTCTAGCATTTAATATTTATTACCTGTAAATTTCCTAAAATCAATGAATAAATATAAGGACAGATCTTTGATATTCGGTTCTCTAAACCTACCTCACAAAAGTCTTGACTTAAAGGTAGAAGACAGGTATCGCATAAAAATAGTTATGTTTTTTATTGTTTCTCATTTATATGTATCTAAATATTAAAATATTCTCTTAAGACGACAACATGTAAATTCACGTATGATTTCATGACAGAGGCCTATAACACATAGACCAAACACACATTGTATTTCAGTTCTGCGTAACTAAAAAAATATCATCATCATCATATCAGCCTTTAACTGACCATTACTGAACATAAGCCTCCCCCTTAAGGAGTTTTGCCAGTAATTACCATGCTTGACAGCCGGATTGGCAACCGCAGTTAGGCTTTGGAGATGTTTTAAGAGGGACGCTGCTGCCTATTTCTCACCTTCCCTCAGACGTCTCTTACGACATTTACGGGAAAGGAAGGGTGGCCTATTCTATATGCAGTTGTACTTGCAAGGCTGTTTTTCTACTTGAAGATATATATAAAAACTTATACGTATGTCCGTTTAATATAATTGCTTTTCAACAAATACGATATAAGCTATCAACTCAATGGCAATTCTACGCAATGAGTAGTAGTAATTAAATCATAATTTATTTAACAATTAATCCATGAAATTTAGAAAATTACAGTAATTGAAACACTGTTCTACTCTGAGACTTAATAACTCAAAGTCATCAAAGAAAACATGGAAAATTAATTTTCATAATGAAATTCAACCCTTTCAGGCTAATTGCGTTGCCGATGGTCGTAGTCTGAACGTAATTATTTCTTGAGGATTATTCCACATTTTCTTCCAGAATTTATCCTCACCAACATAAAACATAAAGATAACTAAACAGGCACTTTCTCTATTTAATATATTTACTCTAAAACAAAATAATCTTCAGCACCATTTCTAAAGGCGCTCTAGCCTAATATCATTAACTAGCGGCCCGTCCCGGCGTCGCGCGGGTGGACATTTTTAACATTTTCCTTCACTGCTCTGCTCCTATTGATCGTAGCGTGATCAAAAATGTACTATAATCTGCCCAAGAGTATGAAGAATAATTGTACCAAGTTTCGTTAAAATCCGTCGTGTAGTTTTTGTTTCTGTAATGAACATACAGACAGACAAAAATTTTACTGATTGCATTTTTGGCATCAGTATCGATCAGTAATCACTCCCTGATAGTTATTTTGAAAATATATTTCATGTACAGAATTGACCTCTCTACAGGTTTATTATAAGTATAGGTTGAACCACCAAGTATACGTTGGTAAATTATAGGAAGCAAGCTTTTATCTGCGACTTCGTTCGCAAGAACGCCAAGTGTCTTTAAAGTATAAGAAAGTTAACAAAAAAACAAACTTCAAAGTTACGATTTAAAGTTTCTTGTTTGTAAATAAAATATTTTTATGAATATACTATTTACTATAAATAGTAATAGAAAATGTAATAAAATAAAAAAAAAAAACATTGAGAGAATTATAGAAATCCAATTACTGATGAAATAACTAATAGCTACGGAAAAAAAAACAAAATTTTTTATACTCGTAAATCACCTTTTGCTTTTAGCCCAAATTGAACTTTTGATTTACTATTCTTGACCAAATTACCTAGTTAGGGAGTAAAGTTCTGCGATAAAAAAAAAGAATATTGGAATTAGTTCGTAACTGATGAAGACATAACATTATAAAAATTATGACAAAAATATAATCGAATTAGGACCTCTTGTTTCTTAAAACAGATTAAGAATAGTTCAAAATCTAAAGTAATGGTTCACACGATGAGGTATATTGGAATTTTAAATTAAATAGTTTCGTGCTATATGAACTTAGTCACGTTTCTAGTCAATATAAAAACTGTATACAAAACGCTACGCTAAAGGTCGACAGAAGAGTGCAAATACTATTCTGACGCAATAAATAGCGATTACGGGGCGACTTGCATTCAAGTGAAAATGTTCATTTCGATTTCGTAGTCTTATAGCTTTCTTTTTATTTGCTACAAACGAAATAGTTAATAAAGGACCAAATCCAAATTAGTACAGCTTTCATAATATAAAACAACATAATAATTTTGACTAATATCATGAATGTGAAAGTGAATTTGTTTGATTGGCGTCACCATAAAATTCAGTGGGCATTTAGTATTTGGCATGGAGAATGACACAAACTTTTATCCCGGTCAGCCAATAAAAACTCAGTAAACTAGTATCAATTATAATTATGATAAACTAGTTTTCACTCGCAACTTTGTCCGCATGACTAGGACAAAAAGAAGCTTACGTCCCTCTCCCTACCTTACAGTACCTGCATATCCAATTTAGTAGTGATAGTTTAAGTCATAAAATAGTAAGAAATAAACTCACTTATCTATCACTTATATATAATAAGAATTTAAAAACACAACAAAGGTTTTTTAAATCTCATGGAACCAAGCCATAATGGATTCGCGGAAGTGAAACTGCGATACAGCTCTAAATATAAATATTACTAAAATTATGCGTTAAAGGAACCTCAAAATTGAAAGCAGGGATCTACCATGAAATGAAATTCCGAATTTTCGGGCTCAATTTCGTGTTTTTGTTAGTACCAAAATCGACCCTATAAATGGAGCCTAACATTTCATTTTTCATAAATCCTACCATAAAATAAAAAGGAACGATACTTTAGCATTTTTAATATTTTTAAACGGCATGTATCAAGTAATTTTAACATCAAATTTTTGTTTCGTTCAGATCCGAAATTTGGGAAAACATTTCATGGTAGGCCCTCAGTTTCTCTAAAATAGTATTCGGTTGACAATTTGTTGTGAGTACAAAAATGTTATCCATTTTAGACCCTTGTCGAGTGAATAGCTCGAGTTAGTACTCATATGTACATATAACTTCATCTACTCGTATATAAGAAAAAGTAATGTAAATCGTACAGATATACCTAAAATAAACAGTTATCTAAATTTTATACATTAAACTACTGAAATTGATTTCAAATATATTTTCCACTCCACTCCACACACTCCACGTCCACTGACGTTCATTGATCTACCATTGTTTAGTAATAATAGTCACTGAAATGGAAGATAATATATTTCCCTTTATTTTAGAAACCGACCTGCCATTTTGTGGATGAGGTGACGCGACTCTCTCGCCTTGTACCAGGAATAATGAACCCCGATCAGCATCGAGGAGTATTGACACGTTCTGTAGGATCTTGTGACACAGCACCCGTACTTCAAGCTCGTTGCAGATATCTTTGACCTGAGAACAAATATTAGTTGTATAGTAATAAAATGTTTTTAAACTAGAAACAATGTGTTAAGCATAACGCATTGTTTCTAATAAGCATTTACCTACTACATTGACTATTGTTTATTTTTTAATTTGTATTGTTGTCGTTTAATTTATTAATAATATAAATTGTAATAATATAGTAAATAACCATATTGAAAATAATGTTTAGGTATAAGTAGATATAAATTTCTAATTTATATAAATATGGCTATAGAATAAATTTTATTATAAAGAATTATTTTATTATAATTTTTATAATGACTGTAGCATGTCCAGTAATGACAAAATGTATGAAACCAACTATTGTAATATTACCATATCACCTTATTGTACCACATTTTTAGTAATAAATTTCGTTCATTCTTTCTTTCGTTTATTCATTCATAGAAAAGGACTTATGAGTCTATGAACTAGTGTATGTGTATCAAACAAGTTAAAAAGATATATAACACTCGACTAAACTAACAATTGAATTAGATATGATCATGATTTTTTACATATATTTCAATGCCTAATATAATGATCATTATCATATTAATAATTTAAAGGAATAAAATACACAAATCATCATTTATAAATTCGTTTCACCTTAATATCTGAAACATGAAATTTCATCTAGTAAGGTAATTTAAAGTGAGGCGTTTTCAAGCTTTCACGTGGATGATATTCACATTAGAGTGGGTGAGTCACTGAGTCTGCATGTGAGCATGAATTAGCACAGAATAGCGGTTAGTGGGACAATACTAGCGGCACATGAGTAGGTAAGGCAAAAAGGATACATATGTCACGTTATATTCTCACTGTTAAAGATTATGTTATTTGATACACTAATTAGTGATCACGAAATAAAGCTACTTCAAAGAATAGATAAATTTATTATGAGTTATATATTACTTTATTAATTAATTAAAAAATTTTAATATAATAATAATTCTCAGCTTTTTTTCTCACTCGCTTTTTTAATGACTTAAAGTCATTAAAAAAAGAGTGTTTGTTACCTCTTATCGCCTTAAAGGCTCAACAATCATTGTGAAATATTTTATACACGTTATATAGAAGGGGAGGGGATATGATTATACTCTTTACTTAGATCGACATACTCCCGTTCAAGCGTACAAAGTCGCGAGTAAAAGCTAGCTACAAATAATTGTATGTTAATTATTTGTATGTTCCTAGTCCTAAAACTAAGATAAAATAGTACATATATTTTTAATCTTTTTTTTAGAAACTTTTATTCAATAAGTATTCTTATTGGATAAAAGTTCCTAAATAAAAGTGCCAGCCCCATCAAGTATATCGTTACATCACAGAGACATTTGTAATGACAAATGAAAGTACAAAATTTGTATATTTCAATACATCAAGTTTATAATGTGATGAAAAGGTGGGCGTTGTAAAAGCGAACTTGAGAAGAGACACCAACACATAAATAGCTATAACTCACTTTTGAATCTGATTTCGTTGCTAATTTCCGTCGACATGTATTCCTGGCAAACGGCAAGTATTTACCAAATTCTATAACGAAATTTGCAAACCAACATTTACCAAGTTCGCTTTTACGCCGGTTCTGTAATGAATCGCGACACGTGAAGTCTATGGAAACTCGGGTTATTTAAAGAACGACGAAAGTTTTATAATAAAGTTTGTCGTCTATAACTTTAATTTTAAGTACAGACATATTACGTTAACACTTTATAGTCTGTAAAATATGAGACAGTCATTTTGCTAATTATCTTCTGTTCGTTTAGGAATTCTAAACTAAAATCGATGCCAAGTTAGAGTCATTTCATTGCTTTGACCTCTATTTCAACCTTTTTTTATAAAGAAAATGAAAATTTCAATTGTTTTACTTAATTATTCTAAATTTTCCAAAAAAAAAAAAGTTAATAGCTTAATACTTATTAGACAATTTCGTTTTTCTTGTGTTCTTATGTGACATTAATAAAAAGTTCATACGTGTCTTTATATTTTTGGTATCTAATAACATACTTAATGACAGCCAGATTTTCCATAAACTACTAGGAATAATAATAATAGAGAGTATATCGAGTATCAGTGCATGCTTTTTGAAAATTTAAATCTAGCAATCAATCTGTACACAACTAGAGAGTAAAATGAACAGTCACTAATTGAAAGCCAAAGTGAGCCACATCAAAGTTGAAATTAGGTATCATAGACAAGAGACAAAATAATATAAATTCATTCTAATCAAATAGCAAATTGCGTACATAAATATAGCATTTATATTGTAAATTCTTATGAAGACAATTCGTTAACTGAGACTAAGGTAATAAGCAATAGTCATAATATAAGTAACTAGCGGCCCGTCCCGGCTTCGCACGGGTGGATACTTTTACAACATTTTAAAAAGTGATTATTGTGACATAACGAGTTGGACATATAATATCGCGAAGTTTTTTGTAGTTATTGATATTTTCTTCAAATTGTAGAATATACTTTTGTTCTATCACCAATAGTTTCCGCAGCGCACGCGACGAAAGATATTTTATAGCATTTCTTACACCTTGAATTACGTTGCTAAAGTTTTAGTAAGTATCCCTAATCTTTTCTAGCAATAAATATAGCCTATGTTACTCAGGGTGAATGTAGATTTCTAATGGTGAAACAATTTTAGAAATCGGTAAAGTAGTTTATTCATTACAAACATACATACACACAAAAATACAAATCTTTCCTCTTTATAATATTAGTGTAGATAATGTAAGAATTGCTAAGAATAATGTCTCTATAAAAACAACAGAACCTTACCAATTGTTCGCTAATATAAATCCAAACACATACATAAAGGTTTAAAAAGGTTAATAACCCTTTTTTAGTACATTGGGAAATCTCAGGCGTATTATAAAATATTTCTTCAATTCACTACTGCAATTTATCTATGTCCCTAACCGATAATCACGTGAAATGATTAATTAGAAGCGATTCGGGTAGAACGTGACGGAACAGTAATCCGAACCCAGGAGACGTTTATTTGGGTTAACTTCAAACCTCATATATAATAACTCAATCAAGTTACTAATGAGATTTATATGTTACCACTAGGTACCGAAATAGTATTGGTATTAATGCGAATGATATTGGTGTGATTTATAACATCATGCTAAATGTATAAAATATAAACCATCTTGTCTTTACTTCGTTAAAAATAGCATTTTTTACAAATAACAATATTTAGATATTTTTAGACTACTTTAAGTATTAATAAAATTACAATGTTATTAATGAGATTTTAAAGTAATACCGTAAACAATTTCTTCGAATTTGTCAACCATAATTTTATATAGCTTGGCGTAATTTTGAGAGAGTGAAGCCAACTTTCAACGATAATAAATTATTGAATAATTTCCACTAGCCTGTTTTAACCAGAAACAATAAACAACAAACAATACCATTTTTTCACTTATTTATTTACCAGAGGGAGACTACAAAAGTCGATTGCTTGGGTATCTCTATCCCATTCGTGTTTCAACCGTGAAGCAGTTGTGTTTGCATGGCTGTGTTTCGGTTTGAAGGGTGGGATATAGCGTGAATTTACTGGGTATAGAGGATTAACACCCGAGTCCTCAGGAATGGCAACGCATGGGGGGTATCATGGGCGAAACAGTATACTCTGTTATGTCCATGGTACTGTTCATGTCTATAGGCGACGGTTACCACTTTCCATCAGGTGGACCGTCAGCTTGTTTGCCATTCTAAGTAGTATAAAAAAAACTTAATTTTGTACGATTTACAACAAATATGATTAATAATTCACAATAGACTATAACATTTCATGTATTTACATCAAACGTAAAAATATTCAAACCTATAGCAATGAAATTTTAAACGAACTTAACCAAGTATTAGACAACAAACTATTCAGCAGATGATAAGACATTATAACTTTTATTAGATAAACATAAATACATTTTATTTCAGAAATTACGCAATTAATAATTCATTGAAAGTATACGAGTATAAGCGAAATTAGATCACTCAGTGGTTGATACATTTATCTGAAGCTCCCCTATAAATGCCTTCTAGTCAAATGCTACTAAGCATCAATGAATACGTATGAATATGTATTCACGGTCGGCTTCCACACGTGCTCAGTTAGAAAATTAAGTTCATTTATGACTTGCGAGCTTTATGCTATTTGCTAGAATCTCAAGCTATATTAAAGTCAGTGACTTATCTATCCAAGTACGAGTATATATGAATAAAATAAATAGGCAGTATTGCAAGTCACTGGAAAGAAGAATGAATCGATTGAATACTGTTGCCAAATCTTTTGTAACCCGAAAAATATTTAGGAGCGGAGCGTACTCTGAAATGATAAATCCGAATATCAATCTAACTTTGCATAGTTTTGTTTTGAATAAAATTTATTGAATCGAATTTATTTGAAGTAAGACTTACGACATATTTTATCTTATACAATACGGTCCAAACCAATGGAAAGTCTATACAGACCAACTGAATCCAATTAAATTCGTATTATAAAACGCCCGAACTTTCAGCAGAAAGGTCGCATTTGTCATTTCACAGTAGACCCCGTGTATATAAAATTAATTCTATTTTAATTTATTCGAAGTAGCTATTTTAAACCCCCGTAAATATATGAAATCGACGTAAAGACGAAGAAACAAAAATCTACTACTAAATCATCCTACTGAATTTAACCTTAAAAATAACCTTCTTATAGTAGTGGTCAATGAGTTTAGCTTTGATTCACGATTGAAACCAATAAGGGTGATTTTTTTACAGCGTTTTTATTTTGTGTTCCAGGAAACCAACAAAATTGCCTGACATGACATTCGTTTAGAGTCAGTTTTTGTTTGATTAAGCTTCTGATTAGATACTTCAGTGATACGAATACAAAAGCGAATATTATAATATACTTATGCACACAAATTTCGTTTATTATACTGAAACATAACAATACTACTCTATTTTATTTCGTATTA